TCCCCTCTCCATTCGCACAGTCCGATGCCGAGCAGGGCAATGATGGCGAGAGGGTGATTACGCGATGCATGGTGGGGCACGGCATGGCATGGCGTCGAAGAGCACGGCAGAGCGTAGCATGCCATAGCATGGCGTGGTTTTGCGCAGTGAAGCATCCCATCACAAAGCAGAACAACGCAAAGCATGGCATCGCACAGCGGCGCAGAACACAACACCGCGCAGCACGTCATGGCATGGCGCCGGGTTCCTTGGAGGGTAGGTGGATCGTCTTCGAGAAGTCTGGGCCAGTCTGGAGTCGTGGCTCCATGTCTAGCTCCTTGGGCTCCCCGAAAAGCTCCACACAAGGCGGGGCTGATGGAGAGCACCCGCGGACTCTGCTTTCAACATCGCCTTCTCAAAACAGTAACGGGGCTCCCGCTTGATACTTCCTGAAAACGACGACGCCTCAAAGTGGGGGGCTTCCGCGGCCCCAGAAATCAACGAATCGACACCGAATGTGGAATTACTTCCGATGGTGTTGTCGTTTTTTTTTTTTTTAGATTTTGGGGCCTATTTGGAAGGACCGAAGACGCCTCGCTGCAGCGCGAGCACGATTTGGAACAACCAGGGGCGCAGAAATGTGGCCAACGATTCAGCGGGAGCAACTATTTGAAAACAAGCCAAGCGTAAACCCATTTCCCGGGAATCTTGTGTGTAAAAATGTACGCGGAGGGGGGCCGGACATTTTCCAGACGTCATCAAGGGAGAGAGGAGAGTAGTATTCATATTTTGATACTGTAGAGGGGTGAAGGAGGGAGGAGGCGGAGGAGGGCACGAGGGGGATGGGCGGGAGGGGGATGCGGCAGGGGTGGCGAGGATGCGGAAGAGGAGGAGGAGGAGGAGGAGGGAGAGGAGGAGAGGAGGAGGAGGCGGCTCATGACGCTCCAGCCCCCAGGTGCGCAAGGAGGGGGGCGCTGGAGGGAGCAGCGGGGGCGGGACATGGGGAGGACGAGTGGCGGGGGCTTGGAGAGGGAGGAGTCTATGCAGGGAGGAGCACGAGCAGGAGCAGGGCGAGTATGAGCCGCAGGGGGAGGCAGAGAAGCAGGGTGAGGGTGAGGGTGAGAGGGTGAGGGTGAGGAGGAGGAGGAGGAGGAGGAAGAGGAGGAGGAAGAGGAGGAGGAAGAGGAGGAGGAGGAGGAGGGGACGCGCGGCGGCCGGTGGGTCTCTCCCGCCCCCCCCCCGGGCGGGCGGCAAGCCCAAGGCATGTACTGGTACTCCTGGCCGCCTCCCTCCTCCTCGTCCTCCTGGCCCCCTGGCTCCTCGTCCTCCTGGCCCCTTTCCTCTTCGTCCTCCTGGCCCAGTCCCTCCCTGCCTCCCTCCCTTTCTGCCTCCCTCCCTCCCTCCATCCCTTCCTCCTTCTCCTCCTCCTCCTCCTCATTTCTCTTTTCTCAAGAGCGAAAGAAGGACGTACACGTATATGAATCCACGATGGTTTCGAGAGTATTGCGCGTACGTTCGTATCACGCGGCCCGTCTCGCGGATTGGGGCACCATGTTCATGTAGGTGGGCGCGTACGTCTTTCGTGCGCTCCATGTCTTCCTCATGATCCTCCTCCTCCTCCTCCTCCTCCTCCTCCTCCTCCTCCTCCTCCTCCTCCTCGTCCTTGTCCTCGTCCTCCCTCCCTCCCTCCCTCCTTTCCTCCTCCTCCTCCTCCACCTCCTTCTCCTCCTTCTCCTCCTCCTCCTCCTCTCCTCCTCTTTCGGTTCCTGGTAGCTGGACAGTCGTTCAGACGGAGCCTCTCCCTTCTCCTCGTACTTCTCCTCCCCCTCTTCCTCCTCCTCCTCCTCCTCCTCCTCCTCCTCCTCCTCCCTCCTTATTCCCCCCTCGTCCTCCTCCTCCTCCTCCTCCTTCTCCCCCTCGTCCTCCTCCTCCTCATCCTCATCATCCTCATCATCATCTCATCATCATCATCATCATCATCATCATATCATCATCATCATCATCATCATCACATCATCATCATCATCACATCATCATCATCATCATCATCATCATCATCATCATCATCATCATCATCATCATCATCATCATCATCATCATCATCATCATCATCATCATCATCATCATCATCATCATCATCATCATCAGCATTACCATCATCATCATCATCATCATCATCATCATCATCATTATCATCCTCATCCTCATCCTCATCAGCATCATCATCATCACCATCATCATCATCCTCATCCTCATCCTCATCCTCATCCTCATCCTCCTCCTCATCATCATCATCACCATCACACTCATCAAAATCATCATCATCATCATCATCATCATCATCATCATCATCATCATCATCGTCATCATCATCATCAAAATCATCAAAATCATCATCATCATCATCATGATCATCATCATCATCATCATCAGCATCATCATCATCATCATCATCATCATCATCATCATCATCCTCATCCTCATCCTCATCCTCATCCTCATCCTCATCCTCATCCTCGTCATCATCATCAGCAGCATCCTCCTCCCCTTCCTCATCCTCCTCCTCCTCGATCCCCTTCTTCCTGCCGTCCTCCCCGGGCCAGGCGGCGCGCGCGATCCGGGGCCGCAAGCCTTGTCGGCTCCAGAGGGGGGGAAGCGGCCGCGGGGCACACCGCGGATGCTGCGGGCCCTGCTCTGGGGCGGGCCTGGCTGCGACCGCGAGGCGCCCGCGGTGGGGGGGACGGGGCGCGCCCGCTCCCCGTGGGGAGGAGGGCCCGAGCCCCCGACCTCCGACCGCAGTCGGGCCGCCGAGGTACGAGGTCGAGGTCGGCCGGGGGAGCGCGCCCGGATGCCCTTCGTGTCGGCTGGATACTCCCCAGACCCCCTCGAGTAATGAAAAAATCATGACGAGAGGTTTTCCTTCATTTTCGGCCTCCGGGGGCCCTCACCGGGCCTCGGGAGCGTCAAAAAACGACTCAGGATGCAAAGCCGGTCATGGGGAAAGGGTCGGGACTTCTGGGGGTCGACGTAATGAAAAAATCATTACGTCGGGGGTCTGGGTCTCGTGCATCTTGGGGGGGGCCAGCCTCGAGCGTGCTTCAGTCTGGGCCGCGGGGGGCCGCGTGTTCTCGAGGGACGTGCTGCGGGCCCAGGTCCCTTCTGCACGTGTTCCAGTGGCGTGCTGACCTCGGCCCTCGGCCACTGTCGGTCCCTGCGGGGGGGGGGCCATACAAAAAAACGGATCCAGGGCGATCTCGGGGCCGCGGGCTGAGAGAGCCACATCGGCGGGCGTCAGGGCCGCAGGGGGGGGGGCAGAGCCACCTGAGAAACGCTCCAGAGGAGCTCCCCCCCCCAAAAAAATACCATAGAGCCCTCCACCGCGAAGCCAAGCGCCCCAAAGCCTCCTCGAGCCTCGCTCCTCACGAGGCGCTGGTGGCCCCCCTGGTGGTGACCCTTCTCACAGACCCCCGACGTCATGATTTCACAACGTCGGCTTCTGGAGGCCTCGACCCATTCCCCCGGGACCGGCTTTTCCTCCCGAGCCGTTTCCTGACGGCCCCGGTGCCCGACGAGGGCCCCTGGAGACCCAGCAAGATCGCGGAGAGTCCCTGTCTTGATGTTGCCATGGCCCGAAGGGGTCTGGGCTTGGCCCTGCCCCGAGCCGCAGAGGGGAGCGCCCCTCGCCGCCCCGGTGCCGAGCGCTCCTGGCCCTGACGGCCTGGGCTCTCGCGAGCGGCCCGCCCCCGGGGCGGCGAGGCGCCGCTCCGCCGGGTCGTGGTGGCCGGCCGATGCACCGTGGCTGGGCGACGACGACGACGACGACCACGACCACGACCACGACCACGACGACGACGACGACGACGACGACGACGACGAGCCCTCCGTTGCTGGGCGAGGCTCATCAGAGAGAGCACGACCGGACCGGTCCGCGCCTGACCAGCCAGCGTGGCCGTGAAGGAAGCGGGTCCAGAGGCAACGGGGTCCTGAGTTTTCCGCCGTGTTGCGCTTCCTGGGGCCTCCACGGGCCCCGGCCCCGGGACTGTCAGAAAAAGACTCGGGATAAAGAGCTGGTCCTGGTGGAAGGCCCCCGCCGTGGCATTATTCCCCAATCAGTGCTTGCACTGAAGGGGTCCTCCTAGCGGAAGTTGAAAGATTTGGCGACAGTTTCCCGCCGATTTTGGTAGCAGAGGCTGGGTTCCTGGGTTCCCGGTTCCGGGTTCCCGGGTTCCCGGTTATTGGTTCTGAGCCGATTTCGGTGGGTTCTGGGTTCCCGGGCTCCAGGGTTCCCGGTCGATCTCCTCAGCGAAAGCCATCCATTGATTGGGGTTTTTCTCTGGTGTATATTCGGAATAGGTACGGGAAGAACGTGGACGAAGAGCGACAACGAGTCTTGTCGGTTTCGAACGGGACTCACGGTCGGCGTCGCCGCGGGCGTTGCCCATTCGAGGCAGAATGCCGCCGGTCCAACAGCGGCTGCTGTTGGTTTCGGGCATCATTCTCTGCTGGGCCTCGCACACCTCGCCCCAGGAGGCGGCGTCGCCGTGCCCGTCGCCATGAGCCCGTTGTTTGTCTCCTGGCGACGAAGGGACGTGACCAGAAGGGAGGGAGGGGGGGAGGAGGGGGAGGAGGGGGGGAGGGGGAGGAGGAGGAGGAGGAGGAGGAGGAGGAGGAGGAGGAGGAGGAGGAGGAGGAGGAGGAGGAGGAGGAGGAGGAGCTGGCGCAGGAGGCGCACGGCCTGAGGCGGACCAGGGGGGGCCGGTCACGTCACGATCCGCGCCAGGGCCGTCTGGGAAGGCTTGGGAGTGGCCAGTTTCCGGACGGCGCTGGCGCGAATCGTGGCGTGACCACGGGACCAGGGGAGAGTGGGGGGGGCGGGGCCGGTAACGGGCGCTGTCGCGAGCACTCGCAAAACGGATGCCATCCGCCACGGTCACCGCTGTCCAGGTAGCGATCCTGTCTGAGTGCATGCAGCCGTTTTTGTGCTCCCGAGCAGTTCCTTTTTGCGTGCCGTCTGCGCCGGGATGGTGGACCTCTTCGCCGACTCCCTTGACCTGCCCACGCTGCGCCCCACGACGGAGACTCTGCTGGAGGAGGATGAGGAGGATGAGGAGTATGAGGAGGAGGAGGAGGAGGAGGAGGAGGAGGAGGAGGAGGAGGGTGAGGAGGAGGAGGAGGAGGAGGAGGAGGAGCAGGAGGAGATGAGGAGATGAGGAGATGAGGAGATGAGGACGAGGAGGAGGATGAGGATGAGGACGAGGACGAGGAGGATGAGGACGAGGACGAGGAGGATGAGGACGAGGAGGATGAGGACGAGGAGAGGGATGATATCCAGAGTATCCCCAGAAGGCATCAGTGACGCAGCAACACGCCCTCCAGTGCCAAGGTCCTCATCGGTTACGTCCCTACCGACATTCGTGTTCACCCTGGGAAGCGCCCCCCATGGAGAGGAAATCGCCCCATAGGCCTGCCATTCGGGCGAGAGGCCCGTTTTGAAGAGCAGAAGGTCCCTATCCTTCCAGCGAGAAGATGTGCGAAGAGGTCGAACCATACAGTTTGACGAGGAGTCGATTCCAGCGGTGGCCCGCCCCATTTGGAAGAGGAGCCGCCCTACGTCCGCGCACGTGCTGCACGGTTCAAGCTTCTGGTTGAACACGTGATGAAGGCTCTTTCGACATGTCGGCGCGCCGTTTGTTCCCACGCGCGGCCTTCCGTTTTTGAGAGGGCGCCTCGGCCACAAGGGCAAATTCCGCCTCAGCCTCAGACGCAAGGTTTGCCGTTCGTTTACCGCGGTGCCAGCTTCGTCTACTTGAGCGTGTTTCGAACAAACGGCGCGGCGAAAGATCCCTGGTGTAACAAAAACAAATGCTCTTCATTCGAGCAGCCCCGTGGGTACCTGGCAGACGGATGCACGCGGCGCCACAGCGATAGGCACATCTAAAACACCAACCACCCCCTATCCGTGCACGCGTTGGGAAGATTAAAGGCGAACGCGCACGGCGCTACGGTGAGAGCCACAAAGAGACTCTGCAGGGTCATCTGACTCGGGCGATCGTAACGCCTAGCCCGCCCTACCAGGACGTATTGTGGTGCGACGCGGAGCTAGAAGTAATCTGTAGGTGAGGAGGTGGAGGAGTAGCAGGAGCGCCGGCACGTCTACTGGTGCGACGCGGAGCTGTAAGGAATCTGTAAGTGAGGAGGAGGAGAAGGGGGAGGAGGAGGAGGAGCAGCAGCGCCAGCAGGAGCAGGAGTAGCATCGGAGCAGCAGGAGCAGGAGCAGCGCCCACACTGCGTCCAGAAAGGGGAGGATAGTGATGAGATGGAGAAGAGGGATGGACGGGAGGAGGAGGAGGAGGAGGAGGAGGAGGAGGAGGAGAGGCTTGCTTTAGTGTTCTGCTCGTCGGAACCGTATGTCGCAGTCACAGTCGGACTGGAGTGAAACATATCATTCAGCTAGGGCCCGCGAGGTTGGCACAAGAGGCAGACGTCGATTGCTGGCAGTCGGCGTCCGTGTGGATTTGAGTATGAGGCCTCCTATCTCGGTGCGAGCGCCGATGCCGACCGCCGCAGGGAACGCGACGAAGCGGACGAACGAAACAGGAGAAACAGCTGGAAGTGCAACGTGATCATTTTCTTATTCATTGTTTTGCCGATCGGCGCGGGCCCTCGCACCCCTCCCCCTCCCATGGAGTGGATCTTGGCTGTTCTTGGCGCCTGTTTCAAGCAGGTGGAGTCTCCCCCGTAGGACGCACTGTTGCAACCAGTCGCATTAAGCAGAGGTCGGGAGCCAGACCCCTCCCCCCCCCGTCCGCCCAATGTCGAAACGCCGAATAAGAAGCGTTCACCAACCTTGGCGGAATACATGGCTACATCTGAGAATACGCGGGAGAGTTGAATAGAACATTGGATATGAGAACGTTCACCAAGATATGCTTGCAGGCTAGGCGCAACAGACAGAGACCTGTCTCTGTCGAGGAGGCGCTCGCTCAGTACAGTTCGTTACGGATAACCCAATACTGTTTGACATAGTTTCGGACATAGTGAAACATGCGGGGCAACCAGATGGCTTCATGGTTGACATGTCGACGAACATGGCGGAGATGCTCCTCGCTCTGGATTAGGGAACGTTGCTGGATGGCTCACTGATCCTGGATAGCTCCTTGATGGCTTACAAGGTTTCTAGGGAAGAAGCGGCCCAATGGGGTAGCCAGTTGCACTGCCACGGCTGCCGGTCAGTGAGCGCCGCAGTGAGTTGTTTGAATTTCCAGAATGTCTGGCACTCCTTTTTCTAGCCGATCCCAGTACGTGCGCCGCAAGCGTTTGCGCAGCTTTCAGCCTCGCGCCCAGCTAGCAGGCAGCGCCTTTGCATGCAGCTACGCAGAGCCTCGCGAGCTCCTAGGCAGCGCTTCGTAGGCTCGTGCGCAGCTCCTGGGCATGAAGGCGTGGCAGCAGCGCCGAAGGCTCGCTTTGCTGCCGTGAGTGCATGTGCGAGTAGTGCCGCGCACGGCCCTGCACGGACGTGCGGGGATACGTGAACATCTAAAGCATTGTTCCGCTGCCTGGGTGTGTTGGACCGCGCAGGTGAGGCGTCAGGCGGTCCCGACAGACGGAGGCGCAGGGTTTGCAACACATAGGTTGGTTATCAAGCAAATTGGGTAGAGGACGATCTATGATATCAAGTTTGCATCCAGTTTACGCCTGATTCGGATCTTGGGCTCTTCGTGTGGAACGGTGGTCGCCGACGCAGCGGACAACAGACGTTTGCAACCGCCTCTCAGGGGCCGGCGCGCTGATTCTTCCACTGTGATCGTCGCGACGCGTGCTCAGTACTGTCCGGTGGGGGCCCAAAGCATCCTATAGAGGCCGTATGCTAAGCCATGCGATGCGTTGTCTTAGGGATTTGGCCTGCTTTTCTCTTGAAGGAGTGCCGACATGCAGCCCCTGGATGCCCCACGCAACGCGCACACGATGCAAGCGTTTGGAAATCCGCCGATGCATGCTGATGTTCAGTCCCTGTTTCGATCTGGCGAGACATGTGAGGTCTAAGCCGTTGCGAAATAAAGACTGGAGGAGGAGGAGTAAAGGGGGAGGAGAAGGAGGAGGAGGAGGAGGAAGAGGAGGAGGAGGACGAGGAGCGGAACGAGTAGGAGGAGGAGATAGACAAGGCGGAAGGGAGTGCGGAGAAAGAGCAACAGCAGCATGACCAGCAGGAGCTTCAGGGCCTACCCACACTGCGGCCAAAGACGAGACCATGGAGGAGGAGGAGGAGGCGGAGGAGGAGGAGGAGCAGGAGGAGGAGGAGGAGGAAGAGAGGGGCGATGAGGAGGAAGAGGAGGAGAAAGATCACGATGCATCGAGGGAGGAGGAGGAGGAGGAGGAGGACGAGGACGAGGACGAGGTGGACGTGGAAATGACAACTTGTGAGGACAAGGAGAGCGGATGATGATAATGATGATGTTGATGATGATGATGATGTTGATGGCGATGATATTGGTGACGATAATGATGATGATGGTGGTGGCGATGATGATGATGATGATGATGATGATGATGATGATGATGCTGATGATGACGATGATGCTGATTGAGATGAGGATGATGATGCCGATAACGATAACGATGATGACGACCTGATGATTAGGCTGTTGATGATGAGGATGATGATGAGGACGAGGAGGATGAGGATAGGGATGATGATGAGGGTGCGGATGAGGATCATGATGATGGTGATGATGATGATGATGATGGTGATGATGATGGTGATGATGACGTGGTGGTGGTGAAGGCGTTTATGATGATTCTAGTGATTCCGATGATGATGCTGATGATGATGATGATGATGCTAATGATGATGCTGAGAATGATGATAATGTTGGGGGTGGTGATGATACCGCTGACGATGATGATGATGAGGATGAGGATGAGAATGACGACAGTGAGTGTGATGCTGATTATGACGATCATGATGCTGATGATGATGCAGATGATGATGATGATGATGAGGGTCATGGTGATGTTGATGACGATAATGGTGATGATGATGGTGATGCTGCTGATGATGATGATGGTGGTGGTGGTGATGGCGATGATGATGATGATGATGATGATGATGATGCTGATGATCGTGATGGTGATGGTGATGCTGATGGTGATGCTGATGAGGATGAAGATGATGCTGATGATGTTGATGCTGTTGATGATGACGATGCTGATGATGCTGATGATGCTAATGCTGCTGCTATTGATGATGCCGTTGATGATGATGTTGAGGTTGATGCTGATGCTCAGGCTTATGATGCTGATTATGCTGATGATGATGATGCTGATGATGAGGATGAGGATGATGAGGATGCTGCTAATGATGATGATGATGATGATGATGATGATGATGATGATGATGATGATGATGCTAACGATGCTGATGATGATGCTGATGATGATGATGATGATTATGCTGATGATGATGCTGCTGATCGTGGTGGTGATGATGATGCTGATGATGATGATGATGAGGAGGATGATGCTGATGCTGATGCTGATGATGATGATGATGATGATGATGATGATGATGATGATGATGATGATGATGATGATGATGATGATGATGATGCTGATGATGATGATGATGATGATGATGATGCTGATGCTGGTGCTGGTGCTGGTGCTGGTGCTGGTTCTGGTGCTGGTGCTTGTGCTGGTGGTGGGGGGGAGGAGGAGGAGAAGGAGGAGGAGGAGGAGGAGGAGAAGGAGGAGGAGAAGGAGGAGAAATAGAAAAAGAAGGAGGACGAGACGGAGGGAGGGAGGGAGGGAGGAACGCGATAATCATCACGAAGATGAGCAGGAGAAGGAGGGGGGGGAGGAGCAGAAAGTAAAAGAGAAGCTTAACATAAAGAAGAAAGAGGAGGAAAAGGAGGAGGAGAAGGAGGAGGAGGAGGAGGAGGAGGAGACGGCGAAGGCTGAGACGGAGGAGGGTGAGGAGGAGCAGCAGCAGGAGCAGGAGGAACACCAGGAGGACCTCTTCACGCTGCGGGCCAAGACGGAGACCCTTGTCGACGGGGTGACCTCTGCGGCGCCAGCCCGCGGAGACGCGGACGCTTGCGGCGGAGTCGAGCCGGAGGATGGCGGCAGCGCCATGTTGACCGATGAGACGTCGGAGGCGGACCTCGGCACCTTCCAGGTGATGAGGAGAAGAAGGAGCAAGAGAAAGAGGAGGGGTTGGAGGAGTGAGGTCGATGAGGAATGCAGTGTAGGAGGGCGAGATGTGAGGACGAAGATGAAGGAGGGCGAGGAGGAGGAGGAGGAGCCAGAGGAGCAGGAGGAGGAGGAGGAGGCCGAGGAGGAGTAGCATGAGCCAGAGGAGGAGGATCCAGAGGAGGAGCCAGAGGAGCAGGAGGAGGAGGAGGAGGAGGAGGAGGAGGAGGAGGAGGAGGAGGAGGAGGAGAGGGAGGAGAGGGAGGAGGAGGAGGAGGAGGAGGAGGAGGAGGAGGAGGAGGAGGAAGAGGAGGAGGAGGAGGAGGAGGAGGAGGAGGAGTGGAGCTGCCAGGGCTGACCTCGCCGCCCTTGCCGGCGGCGCAGGCGGCTGGGTTCCTCCTGAGCCATTGCGACACGGGGACGCTGGTGCACCTGCTGCGCACTAAGCAGCTGGCAGTTGCGCGAGCCGCCGCCGCCGCCGCCGCCGCAGGCGCCTACGACGCGGCCGCTCTGGAGACTCACCAGGAGCTGTCGCGCTTGGATCCCTTGACGGCCGAGCAGGGTGCCCATTGCCGCAACTGCCGCTACGCCTTTGCGGGCGCGTTTGGGGGACCTGGCCGTGGCGGCTTGGGTGGGCTTCTCGGCGCACATCCTGACGGGGACGCTGGGGAGGAACGACCTGGCCGACTTGGACGCCTCTGCCCTGCCGCTGGCCGCCGCCTGCAGGGAGGCGCTCGCAGCGCTACCTGGGCCGCGCCTCGCCGACGAGGATGACGCCGCGCCGTTGCTAAGCACCTCGGGGAAGAGAAACTGCTCACGCGTAGGCTAGACAAAAGGAGCTACGACTCCTTGCTGTGGGCCCCGAGGACTGGGCGCGACTCCTCCTCCTGCGGCGGCGCCCACTCGGCGGGCTGACAGCTGGTGAGCGGCGGGCCTTGACAGCGCTTGGAGGACGAGGCCTACCTGGACACGGCGCGGGCGGTGCTGGGCCAGGGCCTGGCGCCGCCGAACACCTCTGCTGGAACTGGCTACGAACAGGCGCACGCGCCGTCCAGCCCTGCGGCTTGCCCCTCTGCTGCAAGGTGCACCACGTCTGATGCTGCGCTTGCGGCGGGGGAAATAAAGGGCGCACAGCTGGAACGTCGAAAACGTCTGGGAACGCATTCGCGCCGAGTGTGCCCTCCTGACTGCGTGCGAGGTCCGCGTCCCGGCGTGGGACCGCTGGTGCTGGACGTCCGCGGCGCCTGGCTGCGCGGCGCGCGACCACGCGGACGCCTTGTCGTCAGGGCGCTGTCTGTGGTGCTTGTGGGCTGCGCTGGAGACGCGCCGCGAGGAGGCCTTGCTGCCTGCACCTCGACACCCATCGCGCCGATTGCCCGCGGCTGCTTGCGGACGTGACTGCCCGCTACAGCCTCCTGGGCGATCAGCGCACCCTGGCCGCCGCGGCGGACGCTGGCGGCGCCGTGGACCGTGACGGCGAGGCGGACAAGCGAGGGCGCTCGTCCGCCGGCCGCGAGCCATGGCGGGGTCTGCCGCTAACGCTGGAGACGGTCCGGCGCCACGGGCCAGCAGCGCTGAAGCATGTGCGTCGGTCTGCACGTGGCCGCGTCCAGCTGCTCGGCGGCGGGCCGGAGGCCGACGCCGCCGCCAGCGCCCTCGCCGCGCGCTTGGGCGCCGAGCTGAGCACGTGTCCGCGCCGCGGCATCGCGCCAGATTTGCACCGCCATTGGCCGCCACACCACCCGGGCGTCGGCGACCGCGCTGGCCGAGGAGCTGCCGGGCTAGGCGCCGAGGGCGCGGGCGGCTGTCGGGTCGCCGTGGTCGCGTTCATCTCCGTCGCCGTGCTCCTGGCGGTCAGGGTCCGCGGGGGTGTGGGGGGGCGCCTCGCAAACCGCCTTGCGGTCGCACGAGGAGTGGGATGGGGACTACTAGCCGGGACAAGAGCAAGATGGGAGGTCAAGGGTGGCCAAGGGGTGCTTCCATGGGGCACCTCGAGGTTTCGAGAGCTGGACCCCCAGGGAGAGGAGGGGGACGGGGGAGAAGCGAGGAGGAACAGGTGGACGACGACGAGGAAGATCACTATATGGAGGAGACTCATGAATTACAGTAGCGTCTTTGTCCTGATCCCCTCGTCTTCGTAGGTTCCTAATTTTTTCTGTTCGTCCGCGTCGTCGTCGTTTTCCTCGTTCTCCTCCTCATTATCCTCTTCCTCCTCCTGCTCCTCCTTACCCCCCTCATCCGCCTCTTCCTCCGCCTCCTCCTCCATTCCCCTTCCTTGTAAATAAGTTTTCCTTGTCGCGCACGGAGGCCTGTTGGAAGGGCGGGCCGGGCATTTCGCCTGAGACCCCCTCACCATTTATGTTTCTGAAGCTGAAACATTGACAACAGTTTCACCGATGGGGGGCGGGAGGTTTTCAACATGTGGCTTTCGCCTTAGCGCCGCGCGCATTCGTTCAAACATGTGCAAGAGCTTCACGGGTTGAGGGTAGGTCGTTTTGAAAATGTGGCTCTCGCGTGAGAGCCGCGCACACTTGCATTAAGAATTTCAAGAGGTTCACGGACTCAGGGCGGGTCGTTTTCAGACTGTGGTTCTCACTTGTTTAGCGCCGCGCGCATTCTTGTGAACATTGAAGGGTTTCACGGGTCCCCATGACCAACGTACCAGAAATTTTGTTTCGGAAAGACTGAAGATTATGAGGGTGCAACAGTTACGTTGGCTCGCGTTCTTGACGTCCCAGGAATGGCGTTTCGGCACGATTCAGGATCGCCAAGACGCAACAGTCAGGTTGATCCTTGGCGTTGGAGCCCCGAGAAATATATGTTGGCATGCAGCTCCATCGGTGGAAACGAGCCCTTGTAGGGGCCGATGAAAAGGTATATGCCAATTTCGTTGATGCCCCTTGGGTTTACACTGGTCCTCGTCCTCATTACCACCACCATCATCAACAACACCATCATCATCATCATCATCACCACCCGCTTTGAACACATTGTCTCGTCGTCAACCTCCGTGTGCCCCTGATGGTAACGCACAGCTGTCAACGTCCCTTGCGGTGGCCCTCGCGGCGACAGGAATGGTGTCACCCATGCTTAGGTCCAACAGCAAAGACTGGCTTCCACAAAGTTTGTGCCTTGGCGCCTGGAGCCGAAGGAATTCTCGTCGGCAGGTTGTCAGGTTGTGGGCTGGCCGATGTCACCGTGCTGGGCCGTGCGGCCCGAGGTGCAGTGCGATTCTTATCCTGCCCCATCTGGCCTCGAGAGTGGCCGGCGGTACTCCGTGCGTCCTTTGGCGTCCCAGCCAGTTGCCAGGCGATTGGTTTCGCATTGCCCACCATTGGTGCTCGGATCCTGGCGCATGCATGCTGCGCGAGCCACAGGGTCCACGCCTGATCCTTTGTGTTTGGAACCCTCACGCGCCATTTCATCGGGCTTTGCTATCATCCCCGGCGTCGATCGATGCCAAGCAACGGGCGGCGGCCACTGAGCCACTCGACAAGGCGGAGGAGCGGATCTGGCACGGGCCCCATCGGACGGCAGGGCAGCGCAGGCTCGCGCGAGGCATCCCAGCCTTCCCCCCCCCCTCCGCAGCGGCTGTGTGGAAGTGGGCCTCCTATCAAAACCGGCTTGGCGGCTGGTGCGCTCAAATTCCACCCAGTCGTGAACATGTTATCATCCTTCCACCCTTTTCCACTTTTCCTTCCCATGGGACAGGAGGAGGAGGAGGAGGGAGGAAGGGAGGGAAGGAGGGAGGGAGGGAAAGAGGGAGGAAGGGAGGGAGGGAGGAGGGAGGGAGGGAGGGAGGAGGAGGAGGGGAGGGAGGAGAAGGAGGAGGAGGAGGAGCAGGAGGACGAGGAGGAGGACAAGGAGGAGGAGGAGGAGAGGGAGGAGGAGGAGCAGGAAGAGGAGGAACAGGACGGACGGGGAGGAGCTGGGAGCGGTGGCAAGCGGGTGAGGAGGAAGGACCGAAGGAGGAAGGACCGAAGGAGGAAGGACCGAAGGAGGAAGGACCGAAGGAGGAGGAGGAGGAGGAGGAGGAAGAGGAGGAGGAGGAGGAGGAGGAGGAGGAGAAGGAGGAGGAGGAGGAAGAGGAGGACCACGAGCATGAGCAGGAGCAGGAGCAGGAGCAGGAGAAGGAGCAGCAGGAGCAGGAGCAGTTGCAGGAGGAGGAGGAGGAGGAGGAGGACGAGGAGGAGGAGGAGGGACAGCAGGAGCAGAAGGTGCCCGTCATCCCCGGCCTCACCGCCGCGGACGTGGTTCGCGTGGGCAGGTCAATCCACCAGGCGCAGCAGCTGCTGCGGAGCGGCTCCTCGCGGGCGGGCTGGAAGCCCAGAGTGGCAAGAGGAGAGGGAGAGGTGGAGGGGAGGAGGAGGGTATTGGGAGGAGAGGGAGAGGAGGGAGAGGAGGGGGGAGAGGAGGGGGAGAGGAGGGGGGTGGGAGCAGGGGAGGAGGGAAACCAGAGGAGGAAATGGTAATTATCCATACCGCTACACGTCCCTCGTTTTCCGTTTGTTCGGCCTCCCGGCAGGCTTGCGCCGCCACCGCTGGATTCGCGGCGAGTTTCTGGTCAGCACGCACCCAAGGAGAGGGCCGTGGAGTAGCGATATCGGTACTTTTGCGCTGCCCCAGGAAAGCGGAAGGGGGGATGGGGACGGGCAGGAAGCCGGGAGTGGCAAGAGGGGGAGAGAGAGAGAGAGAGAGAGAAATGTATGTGTATATATATATATATATCAGAGTGAGGGGGCCGAACGGTCATTCATTGCCCATGGGTGCGTGGGTAAAGCGGGAATCCATGGTGAGGATTCTGTTGGTTGCGTTGTTGTTGTCGTTGTTGTTGTGGTTGTTGTTGTTGGTGTCGTTGTCGTCGTCGTCGTCCTCGTCGTCGTCGTTGTTGTTGTTATTGTTGGTGTTGTTGGTGGTGTTGGTGTTGGTGTTATCAAAACACTATGTACAAACTTCTGCCTCCTCCTCCTCCTCCTCCGCCTCCTCCCCCTCCTCCTCCTCCTCCTCATCCTCCTCCTCCTCCTCTTCCTCCTCCGCCTCCTCCTCCTCCCCCTCCTCCTCCTCCTCCGCCTCCTCCTCCTCGGCATCCTCCATTCTTCTCCGACTTCTCGTCTCGTTTCCTTGTCCTCCGCCCCCGCCGCCCCCCTCACAGGCTCCATCACAGGCTTCCAGCGGTCTCCAGAAGGCGGATTCGTGGCCCAGGTCTCGGGCTCGACGCCGGGGATCTCCTACAGCGTCCGCGTGCCCTTCACAGTGGCGCCGCGGGTCATGTGCCTATCCTGGTCATCCTTCCTCCTGCGTCTTCCTCCATCATCCCTTCCTTCCCTTTCCTCCCTTCTCCCCATTCGCATCCTCCCTCCACCTCGACCCCTCATGCTGCTGCTGATGCTCCCCCTTCTTCTCCTTTTACTCCGTCCCTTCGTCGTCCTCCTGCTCCTTCTCATCCTGCTCTCCCATTATCCTCCAGTTCCTCCTTTCTCAATTCTTATCTTCTGTCCTCATCATCCTCCCGCCTCCCTTCTCCTCGTCCTCCTCTTCCTAATCTCATGCTCCTGAACTATATGGAGCTATGGCCCAGCCTCTCCCTCACCAATCCCATCCTCCGCATCCTCTTCTGGCCCCGCCCCTGTCTCGTTCCTCACCCTTCCTCCCTCCACCGCTCGACTCCTTCCCCCCCCTCCCCCTGCTCGAGCCCTGTCCTCCCCTCTCGGCCTCCCCGTGCCCCTCCTGCCTCGACGCCCCCCCTCGTCCTCCTCGCCCTGCCCCCCCTTGCTGCCAGCCCCCCTCGGATGCGCACGCCTCCGTGCGCGGTCGCGCATGCAGTGGCAGCGCGGCGTGCCTCGTGACAGCTGCGGCAGAGTCACAGTCGGGCCCGTGGAGAGGGAAGCATCTTCGTGGGGGAAGGGCTCCGTGCTCCTTGACCGCTTTGCAGCTCGTCTGAGGTTTTCCTTAGGTCTCCGATGGGAAATCAAAGCTGAACTCATGGAAAAAAAAGGGTCTTCGTTCCTCATTCAGGTTTTCCTTGTGGCAGTGTTTCGGCTGTGCGGCGTGTTGGGCCCAGGCCCGAGCCGGGTCGGGTCCCCCCTCGCCCTCCGCAGTCTCGCCGCTTCGGCTGCCGGCGGGTGCGCGAGGCTCCGCGCAGGGTCTGCCAGTGTGAGCCCTCGGAGCGAGGTGGGCCCAGGGCGCTTTGAGCGCCCCTCCTGCGTCAAAAGGGCCCTGAGGTCCCCGATCGACGAGGGTCGAGGACGGAGGAGGATCGAGGAGGGTCGAGGGTGGAGGAGGGTCGAGGAGGGTCGAGGATCTATAGGAGCATCGAGAAGGATCAGCGGTGGAGGTCCCTGGACGCCTGTTGGGCCTAGCCCGGCCTTTTTTTTGGCTCTGTTGGGCCTCCTGTGGCTCGTGGAGGTCCTCCGGAGACCCCCCCACCCGCGAAGCTCCCGTCAGCTCTGGAGTGGCCAGAACCCCCACCCTGACACGTCGATTGAGGAATTGGCCGTCTTCGGTTCGCGAGAGGGCGTCGCGGCCGTCACTTTTGCGGGTCCAGGTCCGTCGGTTTCGGCCCCAGGCCGTTTTCACTAAGGGGAGGTTTGCTAAAGGGAGGTTTGTCCACCGCCGATCAGCCGAAGGCGCCGGCGGACCTGGCCGCGGAGTGCACGTGTCCCGACTTCGGGAACCGCGGCGGGGTCTGCAAGCACGGGGCCGCCGTGCTGCTCGCGCTGGCCCCCGGGTCGGGCTACGTGCCGCCCACCAGCGCCAGCAGGCGCCCAGCAGGAGGAGGAGGAGGAGGAGGAGGAGGAGGAGGAGGAGGAAGGAGGAGGAGGGAGGAGGAGGAGGAGGAGGAGGAAGGAGGAGAGGTTGGATATGGAGGAGGAGGATGACGAGGAGGACGAGGTGGCGAGGACGAGAGTGAGGGGGAGGAGGAGGGAGGGAGGTGGGAGGAGGGAGGAGGAGGAGGTGGAGGAGGGAGGAGGAGAGGAGGGGTAGGAGGCGGAGGGGAGGAGGAGGAGGAGGAGGAGGCGGAGAGGAGGAGGAGGAGGAGGAGGAGGAGGAGGAGGAGGGAGGGTGAGGAGGAAGGACCGAAGGAGGAAGGACCGAAGCAGGAGGAGGAGGAGGAGGACGAGGAGGAGGAGGAGGACCAGTGTAAACCCAACACTCATCAACGACGTTGGAATACGCCCTCCCTCGAAGCTCCCTCTTCATTAGCCCCTGCAAGGGTTCATATCTGCTGAGAGAAGTGTCCCGCTGGGAGACAACAGCGTGGAAATCCGGAAGCGTGCCAGTGCAATATCCTCAGGACTTGAACGCCACGAGTCACTGTGACTGTTGCGTCTTGACGGTCCTGGACCGTGCCGGAATTCCGTTCCTGAGACTTCAACACCGCGAATCAACGTGATTGTTGCGCCTTGACATCCTAGAATCGTTTCCAAACACCATTCTTTGTACGTAAACCATCAGAGTCCGTGAATCTTGTGTAATGAAGGAACCGCCCTCAATCCGTGCAGCTTCTGCAAATCTTCACAACGAATGCGCTCGGCGCTAGGGCGAGAGCCACATTTCGAAGACTGCCCGCCCTCAATCAGCGAAACTCTTGCTTTTTTCCATAACAAGAAAAACCGATGTGCGCGGCGCAAAGGCGAGAGTCACATGTTAAAAACCGCGCGCCTTCAACCCGCGAAACTCCTGCACATGTTTACTGTATGACGAACGCGCGCGTCGCTAAGACGATTGTGCACGACTGAGCCACAGTTTGAACACCGCCCGCGCTCCACCTGTGAACCTCTTCCAGCTACTAAGCTTCAGGCTCGTGAGTGGTAAGGAGGTCTCGGGCGAAACGCGCGGCCCGCCACTCCGACTGGCCTCGGGGTGCGACAGGGAGAAGTTATCCATCAGGACAAGGAAAGCAGGAGGAAGAGTCCTCCTTCTCCCTCCCCCTAGGTCTGCGTCTGCTGCTTTCCACCGAGCCTCACTTACATCACACCCATCCTGGCGATGGCCTTCGACAGGCTCTCTAGTTTGACCCCCCCCCCAGGGCCGACCAGCCCTGGGGGGGGGGATGGCTACGTCGGATGACAGTATTGCCGTCAGGATCTCAGGAGGAGGAGGAGGAGGAGGAGGAGGAGGAGGAGGAGCAGGAGCAGGAGCAGGAGCAGGAGCAGGAGCAGAAGGAGCAGGAGGAGCAGGAGGAGGAGGAGCAGGAGGAGCAGGAGGAGCAGGAGGAGCAGGAGGAGCAGGAGGAGCAGGAGGAGCAGGAGGGCGACCTGAGACAACGGTAGTACGCCTTCGCGGGGCCCTCTCGTCGCCACGGCTGGACGCATAACGGCAAACTGGTGCGTATGGGCCCCGGCAGGGGTCAAGGGACCGACTGTGCGCTACGTGCTCGCAACAGGGGGAGGGGGGGTTGTGTTTGAGTTTTTTTGTTGGGGTTTGGATTTTTTGTGGTCTTTTTTGTGGGTGTTGTTGTTTGTTGTTTGTTTTTTGTTTGTGGTGTGGGGGTTGTTTGGGGGGGTTGTGGTTGGGGGGTTTGTTTGTAGGTGGAGGTTTTGTTTAGTTTGTGGGGGTTTTTGTTTGGTGTGGGAGGTTTGGGGGGGGGATGTTGGAGGGGGGGGGGGGTGGGGGTGTGGGTGGGGTTTTCTTTCGTTTTTTTTCTTTTTTTTTTCCTTTTTTTTTTTTTTTTTTTTTTATTTTTTTATTTTTTTATTTTTTTTTATTTTTTTTTCTTATTCGCACCACTCGAGAGAAGGCGAGGGAAGGGTCTTGAATTCGAGTGCCCCCCCACCAGCTTCGGCGGATATAGCACTCGTTCCGTCCTCCATCGCCTCGTTCTTCCCCCCCTCGCCCGCCCCTGTCCTCCGCGCTATGGGCGTCTCAGGCTCGGCTCTGTGCGCACAAGGAGAACAGTGAGCAGGGAGGAGTAGGAGGAGGAGGAGGAGGGGAGGAGGAGGAGGAGTGAGGAGGAGGAGGAGAGGAGGAGGAGGAGGAGGAGGAGGAGGGGAGGAGGAGGAGGAGGAGGAGGAGGAGGAGGAGGAGGAGGAGGAGGAGGAGGAGGAGGAGGGGGGGAGGAGGAGGAGGAGGAGGAGGAGGAGGAGGAGGAGGAGGAGGATGATAAAAGGCCTCTTGGATGTTCGTTTGGATATCGTAGGAGTTCTCTTGAGAGCCTCTGGGAGGCAGTTTTGAAGCATCTTGGGGGCCGTCAGGGGACCTCTTGGGGCCTCTTTTGGTGTCTTCTGGGGGCCTCTAGGAGATCTCTTGGGCTCTCTTAGGGGCCTCCTGGGGGCTTTTTGGGGCGGAAGGCTCGAATTGTCGGTTCGTGTTCCCCCTCTTGGGGCCTTCTTGGGGCCCTCTTTGGCGATCTTGGGCACCTCTTGGGCCGTTATGGGGCCCTCTTGGACCGTCTTGGGGCCCTCTTGTGGGCCTCTCGAGCCGTTTTGGGGCGGTCTTGGGGGCCTCTGGGGCCATCCTGGAGCGTCGGAAACCCGAAAACACAAGAAGGCGACGACATAGAAGACCGCAAAGAAAATCAAGGATTGTTGCCTCTATGGGCCCTCTTGAGGGTCCTCCTGGACCGCTCTTCGGGCTTCTTTGGGGCCCATTGGGCCGTCTTGGGGCCATCTTGGGCGTCTTGGAGCGCTATCGGGCTGTCTTGGAGGCCTCTTTGGGCCCTCTTTGGCGCTCTCTGGGTCCCTTCTGCGCCCGTCTTGGGACCCCCTGGCCTCTGGAAAAGTCACGCGAGGCAGCCCAGGAGAGCGCTGGAGCGCCCAGGACATTTTGAGAATTTGGGGCCCCAGCCTTTATTTAGATTTTTATCACCCCAGAGCCCTGAGTTCAGATAACAG